GAGCAATGTCGGAAATCACAATGGAAGAGATTTTTGAATATTTTGAAATTCAATACAATTGAGAGTTGCTAATGCACCAGAATACACAATGATAATAATCGAACTTGGAGCTGTGGTAATGAAGAATGAAGAAAATAACTTTTGTCCAACTTCTACTCGTTCAAATAAACCCAGTTTCTCAACGAAGCCGATTAGTTTGTATGGTGAGTGATTTTTTAGGTCGGATGGTAGGAGTGTGGTTCTACCAAACTCTAAAAACCTGATTCGGTCCCCAGCGGGTCAGGCACAAAGTATATGCTCTGCTGTCCCATCATTTTCTGAACAGAGACGACACATACTGTCTTCCGTCAGTCCGAGTTTCTGCATATGATGATTCAGAGGACAGTGACCTGTAAGGAGGCATGTTAGACATCGTAGTTCATCACTACTGTAGTCCAACAACTGTTTGGTTTCAAGCTTCGAACGGTAAATGAACGCCTTGGAGTGAGCCAATCCTGGAAGATTTTGCCAGAAATACCTAAGTTTTCTTGCCATTCAGGTGTTTAATGTTTGTTTGTCAAAACCTAAAGCAATGCCAAAGACAGGTTCTGGTCTGATGAAGTTACTTGCAGCACCCTCCTTTGCAAGAGAGTCAGCAGCCCTATTGTCTTGACCAGAATCCAGACTAGAGACAATTTGTTATGTCTTCCTATCGAGGAGAGTCATTTTTGGCCATTTGCTATCAACTTAGACGTTGCTCGGTAGGAGCCAAGAGCTTCCAACGCCGCTTGACTGTCTGAGAAAAATTTTATTGACTTGTGAGTGGTACTTTGATTTCTCTCTAGTAACATAAGTGACGGGAGTTGTTCAGATGAATTGATGAAAACACTGTATTTTTTCAACCCTGGAAAAATGATATTTCTTCAGCTGTTAGCTCTGATATTTGAATTATAAGACGAAAAATATATCTATAATCAACTTCAAAACATACCAACTCCTTCTGTGAATCTATCTCCATTCTTATTTTTACAGGAGATTTAGAGTACCCAAGACCAGGACTAACTATTTCGGGGGCAATATCTCTGGCTGTTGAAGAAGTAAATAAGGGTCCTCTAGCGAAAAGAGGCCATAAGCTGGATTTCATAGTGGCTGAAACATATGGTGAAGAGATTATCAGTGTACAAAAAACTGCAGATTTATGGACAAGGAATGTATCTGTTTATGTTGGTCCTCAAGAGACCTGCGAACATGAAGCCTTCATGGCGGCCGCCTTCAACGTACCGATGATATCGTATGTAAGTTGATTCATAAAAGTTAGTGTTAGTATTGACAATTTATTCTATTTGGTAGTGTTCACATGGATTGAGCACCAATAAGGTTTTGAAGTTTTTTGTGAGTATGTATTTCGGATATATCGGATTGTGTTTATCTTGCTCAAGAAACTTTGTATACAGAAATGTGTGTGGTTGTAGTTTTCGACAAAGGAAACTGCTCAGTTTTTTAGAGAGTTCTAACTAATCATGTACAAGAACTGTAATAATAAATTACTAACGTTTGCAATAGTTCATGGTTCAAACCTTCCATAAAGTGAATCTGGCAATAACCTAACAGATACGTGTATGTATTGTTGTCTGAGAAACGAAATGCTTTTTATACATATATTTTCCTGCAATGAAATGCGAACCAATATTTAATGCAGGTAATAATATATTGTTTGTGACAATTTTTTAATTGGAAGTAACTTGTTTAATTTTTGCTGATCAAGTTTAGCCGAAATTCTCTTTTTCGGAAAGATTTCACCAGATCGTTTCTTGATTCAGAGCAAGAAAGCGGTATGTACATGGTATATGGAATAACCAGCTATTAATTTGTGGACCCTTGCCTACGTCGGTGATTGATTCTTTTGTAGAAATTCAATTATCAGTACTGGAAAGAATTACCAAATCAAAAGCTCTCATTCGGACGCCATCTATAGATATTTTCAATTCAAACACTAACGTAGTTACTCCGGAATAGGAGACACCAATGAAACAAGGAATATGGTTTAGTTGAGAGTTTCAATATGGTTTTGCATCCCTACCCTTGAAATGAATGAATGGAAATACTAAATTATCCTTTTTGAACATAAATTATTACTGGATAGAAAAATCGAAGTGTCGACATTCAAAAATGTTCTACTCTTTCGAGTGGTTGCTCTAATACACGGTTCTCCAGACTACCGCCCGCGGGCCAAATCCGGCCCGCCAGTGTCATCAATCCGGCCCGCGA